TTTTAACCCTGCAGCTGAAAACATGCTATGTTTCACTGAGGCTTAATCCAGCCTTTAGTGGCTGTCTCACTAACAGCCGATAGAGGCGCTTCCATGAAAATCACAGTGAGAAGACACTGGACATCCATAGGAAAGCATTGAGTAATGGGCTGTTTGAATGCACGCAGCTCTTGTTGCACACGCGCATTCGGATCTAACGTTGGCAGGGGGTGGAGAGTTCCCCAGGACAGAGGTAGCCCAGCGCTGGAGAAAGGTAAGTGCCTGAAGGGGTTTTAACCCCTTCATCCCAGCGGGAAGGGGGCCCTGAGGGTGGGGGGGGACCTAATGACCCTATAGTGCCAGGAAAACGAGTTTGTTTTCCTGGCACTATCGTGCTCCTTTAACTAATATATACTTTAATCAGTTACAGTCAGCTATTTCAAGTTGAAATATATATATATATGGAAAATGTTTAGCAACCAATTTGGACATTAGTTGACTCAGTCTTGAGATCACTATCTGTGTTAGTTGGATGTGACGCTCTGTTCTTTAAAAAACAACTTGTAGTTTGGAGGTAAGGAGCAACCAATCAACACAAAACGTGATAGCGAAAAAAAATGGCCCTCTGGCACCATCTAGTATTTTTAAATTAGGTAGCTACACTTTCCCCTTCTACCACTTGTAGGTTCCAAACCAATGAGCAAGAATCTCTTGGTTCACCTTGTATTGAAGGAGGTTCTGTGAATAAAAACATAGTAGGATGATGGGAAATGGAGTAAGAGACATAACTTTAAATTTAGGAATCGAGATTAAAGATTAGAAAGGGGAAGATGTTAGGCTTCTCTGAATAGGTGAATTTTTAGAGTGTGTACACAGCAGTTAAATGAAAGAGAGGTTTTCTATGCAAAACGTAATATGTAAGTTTATTTTTGACATTCTTCAATTAGACCATTGCCCCTATCTCATTTTCTTATTAAAATTTTTGACCCATTATCGAAATGGTTATGGGGTGAGGAAATCCAGGAGATATGTACGGCACAGGAGAAGTCCTAGGGACAGGAGAGGTATTTATTTATTTATTTATAAAATATTTTACCAGGAAAGATACATTGAGATTTCTCTCGTTTTCAAGTATGTCCTGGGTCCACAAATCATTGCATTGTTACATTAGGTACAACAAAATACAAAAACAATATTAATACACAATATATACAAAATTTAACATAGAACAGGCAGGAAATATATAATCAACCATGACACGTGCATTCTGTTTTGAGGTATGTAGAGAGGGATCTCTTAAATGACTTTAGTCTTAGGGAAGATTTTAAATTGTGCGGGAGGTCATTCCACAATTGCAGTGCTCTATAGGAGAAGGAGGATCGGGCCGCTTTCTTTTTGTATTTAGGTAGACTAAGTAAAGTGCTTGTACTGGATCGGAGCTTATAGAAAGTGGGAACAGCTGGGGAAAGCATTTTGTTCAGGTAGGGTGGGAGTTTTCCAGAAAAGCTCTTAAAAACAAGGCTGGAAAGATGAAGGGTGCGTCTGGATTCCAGCGACAGTCAGTTTAGTTCTTTTAGCATGTCACAATGATGGGTCCTGTAATTACATTGTAGCACAAATCGGCAGAACGAGTTATACAATGTATTGAGTTTATTAATGTGGGATTGCGATGCAGATGCATATACTACATCCCCATAATCAATGATTGGCATCAGCATTTGCTATACAATCTTTTCCTTTACTGTAGGTAAAAAGAGAAGAAGAGATTATTGGGCAGAACAAATATGGAAGGTGCGAGAGAAGATCAAAATATAGGTGTGCAGTAATAGAGCTCAGTAGGAAATGGACATGACTTCAAATTTTATTCTGGAAGGGGGTTGTCAAACAAACTGGGAGAGTGGTAAAACAGATGATGAATGATGATCGAGGTATACAAGTTTAGGAAAGGTGTTCACAATGGACTGAAGAAAGAGTAGTTGCAGGCATGATAAGAATGAATTTCAGAATTGTAGTCAGAATATAACTAGAAAGTGAATTAGCATTTTGGATGTTTCGAAGATTGGACAGATCTTGGAAGCCACAGGACATAGAGTGAATGGAATGGAACATTGAGGTAGCAAGCATGGGCAGATGATGTAAATGTGATTATCGACCATTAGAGAAGATTCAGGTGTTGAAATTGAAGAAAGTGGGATTTATTAGCAGCTTGGCTTTTGTGATATTAAGCTGCCCATAATACTCACATCCTATTACTGCCATCCAAACTTGGGCTAATTTCTTCAGATAACGTGGAAGTTCTGTATAATCATAGCGGTAAGGCTTTAGGAACTGGAGGAAGCACACCAAAAGACGTCTCGTACCATAACCACTAGAATGCGCTGTAATGGCTTTGATGGTTAGAGTATCGTTTTTATCTGTTGTGCTAGATATGGGTAGTTAATCACTAAACAATGAATTGGGATAAATTGAAAACATTCACTAAATTTGAGACAAAATAGCTTAGATGAAGAAACTCTCCAACTTTCCAATATTTATAACTTGTGTTTTTTGGCCTCTATTTAGAAAATTTACCATTTAGCTCTTTGAAAATGTATTACCTCTTTTCCTATTTCCTGCCATCCACTCGGTGGGCTAAGTGGTCAGTGAATGGGATTCCGGTTAGTTCAGTGTAAACGATAGCCTTGCCAACTGTACACACATATTAGTAAAAGCCATTTCCGCTGGCTTACAACCACCATGGAAAAAAAGTTCCTGGAATAACCTTGCAAACTCATCATGACTTATACAAACCAGTTCCTCTCAAATGCGTTATTGAAGAATTTATGGACTCAGGAGGAAAGAGGAACGCATATCTGATATCAAAAATGAAGCCCTATGTCAGAGCCTGAAGGTTGTATTAGAATGTACGCAAACAGTTCCAGTTCTTTAGAGAAATCACAGCTCTGTGATAGCTCTAGTGAACATCTTTACTGTGTTATTGTACGCAGGTGGAACCGTCAAAAAGCGAAATGTGCAGGCGAAAGATAATACTGAGAGCTTAACAACCTGCTACGCATCTCAGCTGAGGGCAAGGGTTGGAGGAAGAAGTGAGCTAAAAAAAAGTACAAGTTCAAGTTTAAAGATGTATTAAAAACATGTTCATTATAGCAAAGGGAGTTTTCTAACATTATTCCCCACAATTGTCAGATGAGCTCCTTTTACAAAAAAAAAACCTTCACTGGAAAATTCTTACACACATGTACATTAAGGGGCCAGTCAGATGAAAGCTACCAGTAACATGGACATGTGATGTACATTACATTAGGGTATGCACCCAAAGCATAGCACCATCTAAACAGTACTTTAAGAATACTAAATATTTGTTTTACTCTAGTGATAATCAGGAGTACCCAGATTAAACTTCAAATTTTTGTTCTTTAAAATATAACAAGCTAAACCAAGCACATGTAGAACTGCATTTAGAGACCTAAATGGGGTACAGGATGTTCAATTTTGCCCTGTTTTAGAGCACACCCATACACAGACATCAACACACACACATACATATACATACACACACACACACACATATATTTATATATCAAATAACAGATGAAATTAGTATCTTGTAATACCTTTTTTATTGTACTAACAGAATTTTGGAATGACAATCTTTCGGGAGATCCTTCCTTTATCAAGTTTAGAGGATTTTATGAGCAAAAATTTTCACATGAATTCTGTTTCGTATTGCTCAGAAATGCTGTAGAATTAATAAAATGAGGATTTCCCGAAAGATTGTCATTCCAACATTCTGTTAGTCCAATAAAATTATTATCTAATTTCATCTGTTATTTTACATCTGCATCACGGGACTAATACGGCTACAATCCCGACTTCAACACTATATGCTCCATGTTCATATAATGCTGCACACTCCCTGAATAGGTCAAAATTCGGCAATACGCCTGCACATAACATCATATATCAAATCATATCACTCCCACACAGTGTACCCAGGGCCGGATGAACATAGGGGCTGATGGAGCTGCAGCTCCAGGCCCAGGCCCAGGCCCATGGAATAGGCCTATTGATTTAAAAAAAAATATATTTTTTTTACACACTACTCGTAGGGTTGCCACCAGGCTGGTGTTTATTTGAGGCTGCCTGTCCGGTGCCGATATTGCAGTATTAACGAGAATACAAATGCCGGTATTTTTCTCAGTATATACAGAGATTACACTTCAATACAAGCACCGGACAGTAGGGGTCGCTGTGTGTGTGGAGAGAGCCAGGGATAGGAAGTTACAGCATATACCTGCATCTCTCTACTCACTGATCCACGGGGGTGCAGCTATAGAGAGTCCAGACAGCAACTCCCAGCCTGCAGAGACAGCCTACAGCTCAAAGAAGTGAAGGATGGGGGGAAAGGCTGCTGGGAGACATGTGAACACAGACACTAGGGGACGATGTAAGACATGGAGACCCAGGGAGACCTCTTGGGACACTGAGACACAGGGACACTGAGACACGGGGACACTGAGACAGATGAAGACCTCTGGAGACTCTGAGACATTTGGGGACACTGAGACACATGGGGACACAAGGAGACCTCTGGGGACTCTGAGATATTTGGGGACACTTGGAGACACGGTCACACAGGCACATATGGGGACACTGAGACACTAGGAGACACTGAGACCTGGGAGCACTGAGACACTAGGGGACGCTGGGAGACATGGGGATACAGATACTTGGGGACACAGACACACATGGGGACACTGAGACATGGGGAAACAAACACACATGGGGACACTAAGACACTTGGGGACACTGGGAGACATGGGGACACTGGGAGACAAGGGACACAATGTTCCCAAGTGTCTCTGTGTCCCTATGTCTCCCTGCCAGTGTCCCTGGTGTCTCAGTGTCCCCATGTCTCCCAGTGTTCCTAGTGTCTGTGTGCCCATGTCTCCCAATGTCCCTAGTGTCTGTGTGCCCATGTCTCCCAGTGCCGCTAGTGTCTCCGTGTCCCCATGTCTCCCAATGTCTCCATGTCTCCCAGTGTCCTCAAGTTTCTCAGTGTCCCCTAGTGACATGGGGACACTGGGAGACATGGGGACACAGACACTAGGGGACACTGGGCAAAATGGGGACACAGAGACATGGGGACACTGGAAGACATGGGGCACTGAGACACAGTGATACATAGCAACACTGTGATACAGTCACAGTGTCCCCCAGTGTCCTCAAGTGTCTCAGTGTCCCTACGTCTCACAGTGTCCCCTAGTGACACTGGGAGACATGGGGACACAGACACTAGAGGACACTGGGTGACATGGGGACACTGGGCAACATGGGGACACTGGGAGACAGAGAGACACTTGGAGCAATCCATCTATACAGCAGAATCAAACTGTAAGTAGTTTTTTGGTGATTTCACAGAATTTTCTCTTACTACTTGTGATTTACATCATGTGATGTCACGCATACATAATTAGTTATGCAAATTAGTAGAGGCTTGTATTTTTTCCAAGAAAGGTGGCTACCTTAACTACTCTTCACATACTCTTGCTTAAGTATGGAAACTTAAGAGGGATATATGGAAACAAAATGTGTGTGTCCTAGCTGAAATGAAATTAGTTTAGGTAATGCTGACTTTGGTCTCTCTAACACTGTGGCATATCCCCTTTCTTCTACACTCACTACATCCACCTTTTCTCTGTCTCAGACTGTATACCAGGAGCTTCTGCCTGCTAGTAAGAAGGTAAGGAGACAAGTGGACATGTGAGTGCTAGGGGACAGTCCTTAGAAAGCATGGAACGAGCGCATCATTAGACGCATTTATGCCAAGCTCAGGGTGCTGTTGGCCAGCTTGCATGATTGGCAGGCAGCCTGACATGCATTCATGCCAGGTTAGCCTTCCAATTCTTTGGGCAGACACGCCTTCTTTTTGGGCATGTTTGTCCCTTTCGGGAGTTCTGGTTACATGATCCGCGTCAGTGGCCCACCCTTTTATACTGCCCTTTGACTTCCTACTTCACTGGACACTGCTGTTAGGGGGTATGGATGAAAAGATGAAAGCACGAGTTAGATAGAGATTAGCATATTTTAAGAGAATCTAAGTTTTCTTATAGCTGCATCCTATGTGTTTCCCTCCAGCAACATCTCGATCAGATACATTACACTTGAGAGGTATGACTGTTTTAGTGTTTTTGGTCGATAAGATTCTGTACTTAGGCCCCTCATAATTGTCAGCACCAGGCCCACTGGGCTCTTAATCCAGCCCTGAGTGTACTGAACATATATACATATTATACATAGATTTACACAAACACATAGTGTAGCGCTATTCAATATGCATATATTGTATATAATATGTGCTCATTGATGTAATAATGCTTTATGTACGTGTTACTTGTCTAGTAACAGGAAAGCAAAATAATGCAGATATGAGCCAGGGGAACAATAATTATAAAAAAAAAATGTCATCAGAAATGGCAGTTAGCAGCACAATGTGAATAGCAGATGCTTTTTTAAAGAGGATCTGTGATTATATGTTGGGAGTTTCCACTGTTTTGTTCATAAGTAAAAGTTGACCCTCTTTACAAAAGGTCATGGAATAAATAAAGAGAATAATGAAAGGTCAAATATTTTACAGGATGCCATGGTACACAAGAGGAACTTTAAATTATGGTATTACTTTGAATAGTTATCCCCAAAATCTTTTCTAGTATGAAATCAAGGTATAGTCAATAGTTACAAAACACCAGAAAAGTTTAAAAAAAACCATAATTTGGAAAAAGTGAACTACAGGACCTGCTTTAATTCTTTTTTATAAAAACAAAAATGACCACCCAGCCATTCAAATGAATTAACCTGCACATGCCAATTGGTAGTACATACTTTAGCACGTACTGACTTTAGAAGGAACGCCCAGAGCAGAAGACTGCATAATAATAATAATGTGACATTTCTCAGTTACCTGTGCAGCTACAGAAGGATTGGGCTATGGGGGCCAAGAAGAGCCCAAGAATTTTACAAACAGCCCCAAAACAGTTTTACAAAAAAACAGTGAATGACACCTATATACTACTATTACTATAACCAACTCAATGGGCTGTAGTAGTTATAATGCATAAAATTTAAAAAATATATATTAAACGACAACCTTGAAAAATGTAAATTAAAAAATTACTCTCCCTCCAACCCCATGCATTTACTGCAAACCCCCATGCCTTGCAGCATCTACAGAAATATCTAAGATGAATAGCAGAATGGCTAAGCCAATCATTTTGTTGACATTTTTACAGAGAACTGGGAATATATTGTTAACCCCAGCAGCTTTTGGCAGTAATCCCATTCATCAGATAAAAGGAATAATAAATATCAACTTGGTTATTTGAAAACCCGAAGATCCCCCATTTTCTCCCTCCTCCGGTGTCTAATGACCTCAGCTCCCTTACAGTATTTTGGGGTACACAGAGATGCCTACTCTATGTTTTGTTTTATTTTTATAAATTAACTTTTCAAAGTAGTTTTGCTCTGCTCTAATAGGCATAGCACTTGGTGAGGAAATCTCAAAGTATTTGGGATTTTTTCGGTAACAAAATCACCTTGATGTAGCCCGGTATCCAGAAATTGTTCCTAGGTTGACTGTAAACTGCAATGGAAATAAATTTACATTTTTTCTAATTCAATCTACATCCTGGGTCAGAGAGAAGGTTAATCTTATGCAAGTTATACTTTGTAATAATATTTTACTCAGACAATTATCAAATCTTAAATCTTTGTCACAATGCAATGGAAATTGAAAGAAAATGATTCCTCAGCAGTCTGATAGTGTTTTAGTCAGTGCCTTACAATAAATATTCAGTCCTCAAAAATGATGGAGTGCTTTTTAAAGAAAACGATCTGAGAAATTTTTGACCTCTTTCTGGGTTTTGACCAATATCATTTTCCGTCTGTATTTCTTCTGACAGCATCAAAGACCCATAGTTCATATATTTCTCTCTAAAAATGCATCATGCCGAGGAATATCCGTAAAACGCGTCCGATGGGATCTGATAAAAAAGAAAAAAATTAGGGGAATAGGCCAGATGCAAAGTGTTCTCTTGTGCTCGATAATCCATATTTCAAATAAAATATAATTTTGCATTTTATGTCCAAGAGGGTTTTTGGAATATTAGAATATTACTGGCTCACTGAAAGTGGACAAATCAATATTTTAAAATTGCCCTTTATATAAACGAAGTGCTTGCCTTCCAATTTCTTCAACAGTAGGACCATACATTATTTCATTGAATTAGTTATAATGACTGGAGTCACTGTACATTAATATATGTGTATATATATATATATATATATAACTAATACACACATTAATATACATGGCATGTATATATATATATATATATATATATATATATATATATACACACTGCACAAAAAACTAAAGGGAACACAAAAATAACACATCCTAGATCTGAATTAATTAAATATTCTTCTGAAATACTTTGTTCTTTACAAAGTTGAATGTGCTGACAACAAAATCACACAAAAATTAAAAAATGGAAATCAAATGTTTCAACCCATGGAGGTCTGGATTTGGAGTCACACTCAAAATTAAAGTGGAAAAACACACTACAGGCTGATCCAACTTTGATGTAATGTCCTTAAAACAAGTCAAAATGAGGCTCAGTAGTGTGTGTGGCCTCCACGTGCCTGTATGACCTCCCTGTGCATGCTCCTGATGAGGTGGTGGATGGTCTCCTGAGGGATCTCCTCTCAGACCTGCACTAAATCATCTGCCAACTCCTGGTCAGTCTGTGGTGCAACGTGACGTTGGTGGATGGAGTGAGACATGATGTTCCAGATGTGCTCAATTGGATTCAGGTCTGGGGAAGGGGCGGGCCAGCCCATAGCATCAATGCCTTCGTCTTGCAGGAACTGCTGACACATTCCAGCCACATGAGGTCTAGCATTGTCTTGCATTAGGAGGAACCCAGGGCCAACCGCACCAGCATATGGTCTCACAGGGGGTCTGAGGATCTCATCTCGGTACCTAATGGCAGTCAGGCTACCTCTGGCGAGCACATGGAGGGCTGTGCGGCCCCCCAAAGAAATGCCACCCCACACCATTACTGACCCACTGCCAAACCGGTCATGATGGAGGATGTTGCAGGCAGCAGAACGTTCTCCACGGCGTCTCCAGACTCTGTCACATCTGTCACGTGTGCTCAGTGTGAACCTGCTTTCATCTGTGAAGAGCACAGGGCGCCAGTGGCGAATTTGCCAATTTTGGTGTTCTCTGGCAAATGCCAAACGTCCTGCACGGTGTTGGGCTGTAAGCACAACCCCCACCTGTGGACGTCGGGCCCTCATACCACTCTCATGGAGTCTGTTTCTGACCGTTTGAGCAGATACATGCACATTGGTGGCCTGCTGGAGGTCATTTTGCAGGGCTCTGGAAGTGCTCCTCCTGTTCCTCCTTGCACAAAGGCGGAGGTAGCGGTCCTGCTGCTGGGTTGTTGCCCTCCTACGGCCTCCTCCACGTCTCCTGATGTACTGGGCTTTCTCCTGGTAGCGCCTCCATGCTCTGGACACTACGCTAACAGACACAGCAAACCTTCTTGCCACAGCTCACATTGATGTGCCATCCTGGATGAGCTGCACTACCTGAGTCACTTGTGTGGGTTGTAGACTCTGTCTCATGCTACCACTAGAGTGAAAGCACCACCAGCATTCAAAAGTGACCAAAACATCAGCCAGGAAGCATAGGAACTGAGAAGTGGTCTGTGGTCACCACCTGCAGAACTACTCCTTTATTGGGGGTGTCTTGCTAATTGCCTATAATTTCCACCTGTTGTCTATCCCATTTGCACAACAGCATGTGAAACTGATTGTCACTCAGTGTTGCTTCCTAAGTGGACAGTTTGATTTCACAGAAGTGTGAATGACTTGGAGTTACATTGTGTTGTTTAAATGTTCCCTTTATTTTTTTTGAGCAGTGTATATATACATATATATATATATATACATATATATATATATATATATATATATATATATATATAAAAAAATACAAAATACCCCTGCACCCCAACTAGAGAAATAAAAATAGTA